ATTATGGATCTGGATCTGTGAGCGCTTATAGATATATTTGCCTAAAAGCACCAGCACTAAATGAATATGGTGATATTCCTTTAGGTTTTGCCCTTAGAAGGATCAACAACAATATTGTCAACATTTTAAAAAATTTGACTTGTTGTTCTTGAACCCATGATCTTAATGATGACCCTTCTCTCTAGTTCTCAATTCCAATGGTGTTTGTTTTGGTTATTCAAGTTATTACCTCAAATAGATCAAGTTCTTAAGATGAATTCCTACTCAACTTGCAGTTCAATGAAGGATTCTCTGTCATAACTAATTGCACTATTTTGTCAAGAAATTCACATATTTATCTATCCCTTAGTTGGATGAATTAGCCACTTATGGGGTTAAGTGGCAATTCTGGAATTCAAAGTATGTGTTGAGTTTTCTACATATTAGAGTTGCATTCTATGCAATCGGTGGTGCTGCATTCACATTGAATCTGATTTGATCTAAAAGTTGAAACTGAAGAATAAAGAGCTACATTCAGGGGGGAGTTTGAAGATTCCATCCATACCAAGCACACTAAAGCTTTCTTAAAGAAAGCAGGGGGAGAAGACCTAAAGGGTTCATGAAGATGCTTGCTTTTTAAAACATTTGGGGGAGATTGTTAGAACCAAAATTGGTTCTAATTAACTCTAGAAGTTTTATTAAGTAATTCGGGCAAAGATGAAAGATTCAGAGTTCTGCTAAGCTAAAACGACTAAGTTTGGAAGAGCACACATAGGCTCTCTGGATGAGTAAGACATTCCCTGAGCGACCAGAGCTCGGGTACTCAGACATAGAGCTCGCGCACTCGAGCTCAGAGCATGAGTACTCAGATATAGAGGACAAGAAGACCAGAGTCATGCACCTATACCTAAACTCCTTGTTCCCAGATACAGAGCGCAGACACAGAGTCCCTGCATAATACATGCAGAGCCTGTAGGTCTTTCACAGATACAGAGTTCCTCTGTATGAGCTACTCCTCTGGTTGATCCATGTTCTAGATAATTATACTCAGTGCAACTATGAGAATGTAGACTAAATCAAGAAGGATGGTGCTGAGTCTATTTATGTTAATGATTATTTCCATATTAATATAATTCGGTTTCCTTGTAAATATCACCTATATAAGAGGTGATATAGGCATACAATAGAAGTGACGATACACACTTTTATAACACACAGATTCACAAACATTACATGAGAGTCGATTAGGGTTTTTTGAGAGATTTCATATTCAATAAAGAAAGTGGTGGCCAATTTCTATCCATATTTTTCTACAAGTCTCTCATTTTAAATCCCTTAACCTTGTTCTACTGTCAGAGCTGGGCCAATGATAAGCATGGTTTATTACATGCTTAAAGTACCTATTTCTTATGTTTAATAGGTAGATTTTCATAGTTTATCCCAACCTTGAGTCATTTTTACTTCCTTATTTTCCATTTGTTATGTTTGGAGCTAAAKGTGATGATGAATTTGTTTTTACAACAATTTGGAGTAGATGACATCTTTTGACTTATAACACTGCACTATAATGYTGCAGCATTCCAACARCATTGCCCGKCTGCATGTTGGCTTTTTGGAGAAGTRCTTATTGGTTAAGCCATTGTCWTGGATGGAAGTCTGAGCTGAAGAAKCCCTCGTTTTGGCCCTCAAACAGCTGGTGAAATGAAGTGGAGAAGACCTTTTTGTTGACATGTTTTGATGGAGATGATACCTCCTTTTTCTAGTCCCTTCATGTACCTTTTTCCTTCTTT